CTTTAAGTTCCCAGACGCTATAGGTCTTGATAGCCGGGCACCATCAGCCTTCTTCACCACACTTACTTATGCACACATTCGTCTTCAGTGTTTATGTGGGGAAGGTGGTCACACAATGATGGTTTTTATTCTTTGGTGTCTGCCACCTGATCCCTTCAACACCTCGTGTTCCCACAGGCTTGTGGGCTTCTTCTCTGTGGGCTTTGTTGTTTTCGAGCTAGATGGCCGTTTGTTTGCCTACAAGCTTTTAAGACCCCAGACGCTATATCTTTTGATAGCCGGGCACCGTCAGCTTTCATCACCACATTTGCTTATGCACACGTCTGTCTTCAGCAATCATGTCGGGAAGGTAGGTAATCATGAAATGACCATTTAGCTGAGCAAGGTGCTCTTGTATTATGCTACCTTAATACTAAACCTATGCACATGCCTTTATTTAGAGGAAAATAAAAGGAAATAGAGGAAAGAGGTAGGAGGCAAAGGGCATTTATAGAGGTCTAAATAAAGATGTACAGAGATTTTAAGGCTCTATTAAATATCTGTGCCCTTTTCTTCTCCCTAATGGTCAGTGTCCCCAGCTCCGGCTTGCTGGACCAATCTAGTTTTCTCACTCGGCAGGGAATTTCATTTTATGGAGTCCCTGGGTGGTGTGAACTGTCCACACACGTGGCTGGTCACTGAAAGGCTGGTGGTTCAAGCCTACCCAGCGATTGCTTGGAAGAAAGGCCTGGTGATTTACTTCCTTAAGAATCAGCCATTAAAAAACTCCCCTATCGAGCGAAATTCTGCCCAATACTCAAGTTGGTTTTTACTGATCTTTAGCTGAACATGCCTAAGTGACGCTAACTAGAGTGTTGTCCTCACTCACCCGGATATGCTGCAGGTAGAGGGACAGGTCTCTGATAAAAGATTTGATCAATCTTTCCTGTGTTCGAAAATTCTTCTCTGTTTCTTCAAACACCTCGTCTTTGATCTGTTTGAAATGAACAAGCAGTGCCGGTGAGGCTGGACTCTCCCCGCTCTTACTGGCAAACAAGGTTTCTTAAAAACATCTCTTGATCGAATTTTCAACCTTCTGCATTATCCCAGAAAAAGGAACTCTGGTGACACCGTGGGTTAAGCACAGAGCTGCAAACCGCCGAGCTGGTGACTCAGAACACCAGCTGCTCGGCAGGAGAGAGCTGAGGCTGTCTGCTCACTACAGATTTGTACACTTAGAAACTCTCCTCGGCTCTACAGGGTCAGGATGAGTCGGAAGTGGCCGGGTGGCAGGGATTCTGGTTAGCTGCGTCAGACTGAGTTAAATGTAAACACTTTTACATGGCTTTCAAAAACTCCCGAAATGCACACAGGTTCTCTGTACCTTTAACCCTTAGTTTCCCCACTACTTCTCTCCAGGGGCTCTCTGCCCTATGCCTGCCACCTGCAACACTGCTGGGCTCAGTGTCCTCACCTGGTGGTGCAGTCCCCTCGCACTGCACCAAACTTGCCCCCTTCTCTTCAGGCTGGGCTTAAATCTCCGGCCAACACGAAGCTCATCTCGCTGAGCTCTGCCCCATCTCTACCATATTACAGCACTGAGGGAACATGCTGCAGCCGAGCAATTGATTTCTAGCTCGCGGTTCCCACTTGTATCACATGCACGTGGCAGAGTGGAAAGGGCCTGGAGAGTTCAGGTCTACTATCAGCACTATCACTACGCAACTGCTTTTTGCCTCACGTAGTCAGTCTCTTAGATAGAAAATTTCCTTACTTGTCCCGGTACGACGTTGAACTAGAGCAGTGGTTCTCAACCTTCCTCATGCCGTGACCCTTGCATACAGTTCATGTTGTGGTGATCCCCCCAACCATAAAATTATTTTTGTTGCTACTTTATCACTGTCATTTTGCTACTGTTATGAATTGGACAACCTCTGTGAAAGGGTCGTTCGATCCCCCACGGGGTTACGACCCACAGGTTGAGAACCACTGAACTAGAGGGTCTCTTAACATGTCTACCATTTAAATTTTGCCTTTCCAAAGAGATCATAAGCTCCTGTTAGCGTCTAGTCCCAAATACTTCGCCTATGCTGACTGATAGGGCCTCCTGGTTGGCCTTTGAGCACGCTAGACAGTTTGCCAACAGAGGCATGGAGGATCGAACGAGTGGGTTCAGGGTCTTGGAGCTGCCCAGGCCCTGGGAGCCCTGAACAGCTGTGAGAAGCATGCCCATCATTCAAGTGCAAGGCTCTCACCTGCGGAGCAAAGCCAGTGAGGTGCTTCAGGTGGCTGCTGACTCGGTTGGACTTCTTGATGATGGAGTGTATGTTCAGTTTGGAAATCTTCTCCATGAGGCTATCTTCGTCCCCCTTACGGTACTTGAGCACTGGGCAGGGAGTGAAGAAAGCACTTGATTGAGCATGGCTACCGTCTGGGTACAAAATACGACTCATGACCCAAATTAAAGCAAGTCCCTAAGTGCAGTGAGCATCAAGCTGAGCGGAGAGAAAATAACACACACTAGTTCCGGGGCAAACACCATGCCTAAAGGAAAGGACGGCCTGTGCGGCCAGCTTGGAGAAGCCTGAAGAAGGAGGACAGGCGACAGAGGTGGACACAAAGAAAGGCAGACTCAGAGTCAAGGAGAGCCGAGTTCAGTGCCGGGATCTGTCACTTACTGAAGGAGGGCCTTAGATAAGTCACTTAATGTTCTGGAGCCTCATGGTCCTCTTCAACAAAATGTAGAGTTCATTTCTATAAACTTTATCACTCATCTTCAACCTTAAGAAGGAAAAGTGTTACCAACGAAGTTTGCGTACCCAGGTCCTTGCGACGTTTATACTCGTTAATGTTAACGTTGATTTCCTTAACGGCCAGGACAGCGCTGGTTAAAGGCACTTTGTCTGCGTGGGTCTCCGGGGTGGTGTGCAGCAGCTCCATCAGCAGCAGTGGGTAACGCATTACTCTCTGCACCGGTTTGATGAGGAAGGAGCCCAGGTTAATGTAATTGGTGCATCCCCTAGAAGAAGGAAGGGGGGAAAAAAGACGATTCAATTTTTGACACAGTGCCAACAGGAGGGGGCTGACTGTTCCCAAATACGTTTCTTTTACTCTACTTTACACTCCCATTCATCCATCAAATAAGAGGGGGCTTGTGAGTGGGGCAATGCCATGGTCATTTCATTCCATTTGCCTGTGGACTTTCTCAAGCTCCCTCATATGGACACCTAAGAAACCCAAGGCCCTGCTCTCGCTGCTGGGGATTTAGCAGTGACCCAAAGACGTCTCTGCCGTGCTAGTAGGAGACAGGCATAGAAAGGGTCAAGTGGTGGTGAATGCTGGGGAGGAGAACACAGCCAGGCAACACCCCTTCTAAGTTTCTGTCAATAAAGGGAGAGAATGGAGATGCGTGTCTCTTATGGGCTAGGAAGAATCCACCAAAGACAAGAGCTTGTATATCAGGTGGCAAAGGAACTTACCACTCGTTGTAGAGGCTCCTACAGGGCAGCAGACATGAAAAGAAAGAGACAGCTGGTTAGAAAGCTGCTGCTGCGGACTCCACACACTCCCCAGAGTGTACCCATCAGCCAGGTAGACGACAATCACCGGCGCTAAGAGGGGCCATAGGAAGGCCTATGCACAAATGGCTGATGGGCTTGGCTGCTGACCGAAAGGTTGGAGATTCAAGTCCACCAGGAGGTGCCTTGGAAGAAAGGCCAGGCGATCTATGTCCGAAAAACCTGCCAGTGAAAACCCTACGGAGCCCAGTGCTACTCTGATGCACACAGAATCCATCACCCGGAGTCACGAGTCGGCGCTGATGTGATGGTATCTGATGGCTGTCATACGGTGATATATCAGAACTAATGAAAAAGAAAGTAAGGCTAAATCCCTAACTTCAATTTCCTTAAAACAAAACGAAGCCAAGCCCAGAATCCTGACTCACAGCAAGTCTCTAAGCAAGCAGAACTGGCCCCCAGGGTGCCCTAGGGGAGCAGACAGCTACCCCTTTCTCCTGCAGAGCAGCTGGCGGGCTCAGCACGGTCACAGCTGCGCCTGGCGCAGTGCGTCACCAGGACGCCTTGCACTTTGTTCTACTTACCCCTCTAGTAGGTCCTGGTGACCTGCTGTCCCAGGACCAGGGAACCCTAACTATCTTTCTGGGTGCCTTCTTACTGGAAAATGCTAATCATAACGGTGTAAGCAAAGATAAAAGTACAAGCACAACGCCCCTTCATATTTCCGTGATGTAGTATGGGGAAAAGGGCAAGCTACATGGCTAAACATGTAGTGCGCTACCGGGGATGCTGCAAGGTCTACAGGTCAAACAGCTACATCCATGGCCCGAGAAGTCTAGACAAATAGCAGAGTGATGTCCCAAAGGCAAACCCCAAGAGCTACGAGAGGCGTGAGGTGGCCCAAAGCCTACTTGAGCTCCGCCAAGGATTCCTGAAGCTGCCTCAGGATCTTCTCATCCCTCTCGTAGATCTCCAGCAGCGAAATGGCCTCGTCGTGATTCTGGCAGTAGACCTTGTACGTCCCCTCTAGCTCAAGCCGGTGAGCCAGGAACACGGCTCCTTTGGAAGACAAACACAGCTAGTGCTTTGAGAAGCTTCCTCCTCTCCCACTTCATTCTAAGGATCTCACACTGAGCGCCCCACCCATAAAATAGCCAAACTTCACCATCAGCTACATCTCATCCCGAGAGCCATCGCTGATGGTAGCTTCACATTCCACCTATTTAAAGCCAAATGCAAAAGACTAGGTCATCTATGTATCATTTATTTTTCAAAACAGGAGCTGGAGCTTGTATGGGATACAGAGGTCCCTGTTCAGACAGAACCGGGCATTGTAAGCACCTTTCTTTCCTGAGCAGGTAATGGAACACTGTAAGGAGAAGCCCCAGAGAGCTAGAGACCCTCTTATGGTAACAGGTTCTAACCTTTTGGGTATAAGTTACATTATCGCTATATTAAAATAATCCAAAGTATGATGAGTGATGTAAGAAATGGATAAGATAGCAGTTGCCTGTCTTCCTCTATTATAATACCCCTTCCTGTGCTATTCCCAGGGAGCCTGGTGGTGGAGTGGGTCATGTGTGCATTGAGCTGCTGACCACACAGGTCAGTGGTTCCAAACCAGCAGCTGCCCCGAGGTTGAAAGAAGTCTCGGAAACCCGAAGGGGCAGTTCTACTCTGTCCTACAGGGTCGCTGAGTCAGAATGGGCTTGGTGAGAGGGGGTCCGTTTCTCATTTTATGCTATTCCGAGAGTCCTCGGGGTGCCACACTTAACGAAGTGGTTGCTCACGGACAGGCGAGTGGCTGGAACCTACCAGTCACTCCACAAGAGAGGGATGAAGCAGGCCCTCTGTAAAGGTCACACTCTGACGGGTCACCAGGAGCCGGAAAGGTTTTCACAGTGGGGTGGTGACAGTGTAAGCTAGTCACTTCAAGCCATCGTAGAACCTGCGCTATCCACGCGCTGACGCTTCCTGCTTGCTGCGCTTCAGCTCTCTGACCCGACTCCTCTGCACAGAGGCCCGTGGGAAGCTGTCTCCACCTGGGGACCCGCCACACCCATAAATGGGCCCCAGGGTCTGTTCTGTGGGCCAGGGTCAGCCCTCTGGAACTTGAATGGCACAGTGAAGACATGATCAGGAAACAGTCTCGCGAACACACCCATTCGTAGGTACATGTCCACATGTGCCGTTTCCGTGGGATGTGCGTAAAATCACTCAAAGCCACCCCTTGGCTTTGATTCCAGCCCCAGGGTCTCTGGGTCCTTCACTCTCATTGTAGCCTCTTCTTCGGCTAACTCAGTGCTTCTCAACCTTCCGAATGCCGCGACCCTTTCATACAGTTCCTCATGTGGTGGTGACCCCCAACCATACAATTATTTTCGTTGCTACTTCATAACTGTCATTTTGCTACTGTTATGAATCGTCATGTAAATATCTGATATGCAGGATGTATTTTCATTGTCACAAATTGAACATAATTAAAGCATAGTGATGAATCACAAAACAATATGTAATTATATATTGTGAAATATTGATTTATAATGACAAATAAATGAAATTTTGTCTTGAAGCATGGTATAGCATGGGTAACAGTCTTCACGCCAGGTACTGGTATGTGGGCGGACCTGTCTGGAGACCGATAGAGGAACAGTGTCTCAGTTCCTAAGACCATCAGAAATATGTGTCTTCTGATGGTCTTAGGCAACCCCTTGTGAAAGGGTTGTTCAACCCCCACAGGGGTCGAGACCCACAGGTTGAGAACCGCTGATCTAACTCATCAAGGTCTCCCAACGCCTACTGCCCCTTCCCTTGTCCAACTCGACTAGAATCTTTAACCCAACTTTTGGTATAATAAAAGGTGCCCTGGTAGCGTTGTGGGTTAAGAGTTAGACTGCTAGCCACAAGGTCAGCATTTCTAACCTACCAGCTGCTCTGAGTGAGAAAGATGAGGTTTTATGCTCCCATGAAGATTTACCCACGGGGCAGCTCTACACTGTCTTACTGGGTCACCATGAGTTGGGATGGAAGCACCTCAATGGCAGTGAGTTTGGTACAGTGCACTTTCTCTGGAAGGAGGTAGCACTGGCTGCAAAGAACTGGAGGTCAAGTATGTAGGGAGATGGCTGGAGTGTGCCAGTTACCAGGGGACCGTGATTCCAATACAATTACACGACAGAATGAGACTGTGTCGTCCCACTTGGGACCAGGACTGGCCTGCATGACCCATAGAAATGGCAGAAGGGATGATGTCATTTCTGAAATGACACAACTGCAGAAGTTTCAAAAACTAGCAATTACAGTCATTACTTGCAATGCATTCTGTATTTGCTATCCCATTTTACTAACACATATATATTTATATATATATATATTTCTATTGGGTGCAACCCAGTAAACTGATGGTCTCAGACCGCAACCACCCGTCTGGTGAACAGCAGGCTAATGGCACCTAAGGCTTCTTCTATGGCTCACCCTATATCACTTCATAGCAGGCTGCAGTGAAAAAGAACAGCCAGGCCACATAACCTCTGACCTGGGTAATGAAAACTCCATTTTCCCAACACAAATACTTTAGCAGGAAAGGCTTTCTTCCTCTCAACGAGGCTTTAAAAACGCTGTTTTGGACAGGAAGCAACAGTGGAAGCTCATACCTACAGTATCGCTGGTTTCCAGGGCAGCCAGTAATCGCTTTGAGACCTGAATCACCATCTGCATGTTTCCAAAAAGACCGTCAAAATCCATGTTTGGGACCTGAGAAAGGGAAGCAAAGCATCAAGATGCAGGCAGATGAAATGAAGGCCAAGATCACACCCACCAGCCAAGCTCTGCTAGGACTGCACAGAGCCGGCTTCAGGCCAACTTCTCCCGCCCTCTTGCGCGCAGTCAAGCATCTAGCGCCGCCCTCTGGCCTTCACCCAACCGCTCTCCCTTAAGAAGCTAGCTGACTGCTGGACTCGTTTGGTCTGTAATTATGCTGGGGTACAGATTCCCACCCAACACCTCTACTCTGAAGACCCTGCCCACTTCCTCTAGAACAGCGGTTCTCAACTTGTGGGTCGAGACTCCTTTGGGGGTTGAACGACCCTTTCACAGAGGTCGTCTGAGACCATGAGAAAACACATAAATATTTCACAATATATAATTACATATTGTTTTGCAATTAATCACTATGCTTTAATTATGTTTAATTTGTAACAATGAAAATACATCCTGCCTATCAGATATGTATTTACATGATGATTCATAACAGTATCAGAATTAGTTATGAAGTAGCAATGAAAATAATTTTATGGTTGGGGTCACCACCACATGAGGATCTGTATGAAAGGGTCACGGCATTCGCAAGGTTGAGAACCACTGAACTGAAGGTCAGAGCAGCAGTCCCAGCCTTTAGTTTTAAGAGCCTGGAAATCTCTGTGTGGGAGGTTCCCATAGCTTGAGGCTCCGAGACCCTGGTCCTGAGGCAAAGCTAAGCCTCTCGCGGTCCCCACCTGCGCCTGCTGCAGGGGCACCATGATGCGTTCGATACACATTTCCAGGTCCCGGATGTAGTCTTTTTCTGTCTGGAGAAGTTCTTCGACCACCTTGGTTCTCTTCTCCAGCATCCTCTGCTCCGGGTTTTCAGTGGACACAGTCGCAGAAGGGGTCACTGGCGATGAAGACTGGGAGGACAGGAGAGTCATTTCTATAAGAGAGCAGAGAAGAAGAGGTCAGCAGCTCTGGGTGTGAGCCCAGGGCTCTACATCGGCTGGGGTTTCTGCAAAGAGCGTATTTCTTGAGGAACCAAAGGTCTGGGTATTGTCCACTCCGGGAAAACTAATCCCAGAGGAGAACAGGTGACGGGCCTAGGAACTTGTGGGGAGAACTCTGATCCTGTGCACCGCCATGTCCAGAAACTGCCCGCAAGGGAGTCCACAACCTCTTTGTGAACTCCTTTGAAGGGCACTGGTGTGGTCCTTTTTCAAGAACCTATTCCATGAGCTCAGCCACAGAAACACCACATCAAAAAGCTGATTATGATTTATCAAGTGTAAATGTTTAGAAAATAATGATAGCAATATATGTACAAATATGCGTGATACAATTGATGTATGGATTGTTTTAGAGCTGTACAAGCCCCCAATAAAATGATTTTTAAAAGGTGCCAATTCTGGGTGGGGTGGCACCCGGACAGAGAAAATGCACAATTTCCGTAAGCATGCGGCTGCTCTAACAAAACAAAAACCACCACAGGGGCAAGGAGGTGCTCACTAGAGGCGACCAGAGTCAGGTGGGAATGACCCACCTGAGACCTGAGAGGTGGCAGGCCCCACCTTGACCCAGTCTCTGTGAGGGCACATTACCATAAGTATGAGGGGATAAGATTTTGGTATGATCCAAGAATTTTACTGCCCAGATCTAAGAGGAAAGACCAGTGTTCACATGACTTACCGACTTTATTTTTATCAGACACTTCAAAGCCGAGGCTGTCGGCTCCTGCAAAGACGCCCAGTCTCAGGAACCCTCTACAGAGTCGCTGTGAGTTGGAACCAACCCGAGGGCCAGGGGCTTTGCTTTGGGGTCCTCATGTACCCCCAGTCACAGCACAGCAGATCTGACTCTTCCACAAGCTGCCCCATCTCCCCTTCCCTAATACTAGCTAGGAATGCCAATGCTTCAAAAAGAGGACCGTTCACACCCTGCTTTCCACAAACCATTGTCCACTATAAAGGAATCAGGATTCTCTGGAGGAAAAAAAAGGGCAAAATCTCAGCCTGGAGCAGAGACCAACCGCGGGAAGCATGCAGCACAATGCAGGGCGTGGGTGAAAAGGGCCCAGGCGCAGCGTGGGGGGAAGGGTCCCACTGGCCCAACCTGTCCACTTGAGTATCAAAATAAACAGGCAATGGATTATCACCCAATCACCCATATGGAAGAATAGGAATCCATGCATTCAGACAGATTATTAATACAGTAAAACTTGGAACCTGTCAGCAAAGGAAACCACAAGTATGTCCCACTATTAGGGAGCAACAGAACAGTGATAAGTTTGTATCCTGTCAAAGGCAAAAAACCGAAACCACAAAAACTTGCAAACCCCCCAAAAACAAAACCTTCCTACCCAATTCTGCTCTCGCAGGCTTTGCTGTATGTAAATCCCTAAATAAAGCAGGGCGAACACTTTTTCTTTTTTTCTATCCCTGCCCACCCCCCCCGCTCTTGAACCCACGATAGATGATCAGTTGTTTTCATTTTGGAGAATGCCAACAACAAACACAGAAGAGGTGGCGTTCCAAGACCCCCACTTGGCAACTGTTGCATAACGTTTGATCCAGGCTCAAATCCTCAATCAATGGGCTTTGATAATTATCAGTAAGTCATTTGCAGTAAGTTACTCGATAATTACAAAAGATACAAATAACTACGTAGTGGAGAAAATAGATAACCACTTAACCAAGTAATGCACATTCACATTGCCAAGGAGGGACCAACGCCGCCTGCTTCCGAATGTTCTGTCTGGAAATGACACACTATTCCCACAACATGACACTGAAAAAAGGCACGATCGGAACGGAAGCTTGAGGAAACACCGGACAAATCCAAACCCAGGGCTCGTATTCTTCCAAACGGCCACGTCACGAGAGGCCAAGGGGGCGGTGCTTGTGCAGTGAAAACCACATGCAATGTCTGATAGTGGGTTGGATCCGGCTCCAAGGAAAACAAAAACTAAAAACTTGTCCGAAAGGGGCATGACCGAGAAAACAGATCGAGTTCCAACCCCGACTGTGTATCAGATAAAAGACTAGATCAATTACAAATTTCCCCCAAAGGCAAATTTATGTTGGTCATCTAAAACATTATGATTTCTAAAATACACACAAGCTCTAAGGAACATGTTGTGTGCTATGGACCCAATAGTTCGGAGGGGGCGGGGGAGCCCTATATGGAAAGGGAGTAAACTTGTAAATACGGAAAAATTGTTACATACTGGTGAATTTGATCAAGGGTGTAACAGGAGGTTCTTTGTCCGGTTGCAATTTTCTGGAAATCTGAGAGTCAAGATAAAGTTTTTTTTAAAAAGACATCCTGGAAAGACTCAAACTTTTTTCTCGGTAGAATGAATGGCAACATTTAAAACATAAGCCTCATTTCATCACGGCACTAAAATTAATTCTAAATTAATTATGCCTCATGTCAAATTTATTGCATGGCCTTATTTTAAATCTGGAGACTTTGAAGCAACAGACTGTCAAACCCAAAAAACCGTTTCCGAAGCAGCAAGTTGTGGAGAAATTCATTTGTAATAATAGTATGAAGAAAGCTCTGGCAAGGAGAGACCACCGACTGGCTGCCCCCCATGTGCCTGTGACCCTCTACTTACAAAGCTCCTCACACCCACACCTGGAAGACCATTCTGATGACCATACTAAACGAAACCCTAGACTTTGGAGGCTCGCCAACAGACCTGAAGTGCTGTAGCCAGTAATCTCTGCAGCACTCCTGGAATAGGATCTCACCATCTTTGAATACAAATCCGATCCACTTAATCCTGGACCACTGGCTTCCCCATCCGGGACTAATACATAGGGGGTGGGGTGGAGGGAAAGGGTGTTCACCTGCTTCAAAGGCCGAGTTCCCTAGAAACAATTCTCTCCTGGGAACCAGATTCCCTAATTCAAAAGGCTGAAAGCACAAGGCCCCAGCAAGCACACATCACGCCAGACACCGGCAGTCTACCGGAGATCGATTAGCTCTGCCCGCGTCGTGGTTTCGGTGCCGTCCAGTTGGTTCTGACGCACAGTGACCGCACGTACCACAGAACCCAACCCTTCCTATGTTTGAGTTCCCTCTTTGCTTACATTAAAACAGAGCAGGAAAGGGTACCAATTCTTTTTAAATAACAACGTAACTTGTTTGTTTGGATGGGGGGGTTGTTATAAATGATAAACTCTTAAACAGCCTTTAAAAATCCAAAACATTTCATTGTGCATTATTCCAAGAGTCTGATTCAGAAAGCTTGGGTGGGACCCAGGAATGTGCCGTGAGACTAAGTCTAAGAAGAAGTCTCTGGAGATACAGTGACCCTCAGACTGTACAGACTATCCCTGGGTTCCGAACAAGATCCGTTCCTAAATCTGTCCTTACGTCAAGTTTTAGTAGGTAAGTTGGAACAGGTACACGTGGTAGCTACTTTGCATTAGTCAGTCAAATGTTTGCCTTTGAATATGGTATATATTTAAACTTCTCTATGTGTATAAAATATTTTTTTTTTTTTATGTGTATAAAATATTTAAGAAACATTTCCACGATCTGTTCTGTGAACTTTCACCTACATCACCATAAGAAGTTCAAAAATTTTTTTGAAAAATAATAACATTTCCAAACTCATTGTGGTTCGGTGCTATCATTTGGCTCTGACCCATAGTGACTTGCTGTACAAAGAAGGAAACACTGCCCGGTCCTGCACCACCCTCACAAACATTGTTCATGTTGAGCACACTAACATATCTTAACATAGTAGTAATCATAATACAATGATAGAGTGACTACTTATGGTGAGCGAAAGAGTGAAACAGTTAGACAGGTCTTACAGTGGTCATGATTAAAGGTTAACTAACATTCTTGGTTCCACAGGTGTCCTCCTGGCATAGTGGAAGGGACGTTCCCGAGGTACCACTAATAGCACGGATAACTGGATGATGCAGGAGGTGGTGGCATCTACTGTTGAAGATGATGGGTCTGCGGCTGGGAGTGTTGGGGAAGCTGGAACTGGTGTTAGAGTCGGGGTTTAATTCTGCTGCTTTGGGGAGCAGGGAGTAGTGTTACGACTGGAGTCAATTTCTGGAAGGTACCCATCAGAAGAGGTGTCTACAGAGATGTCCTTTGTCTTACCACACATGGCTTGAACGCACCGAGGCCCTGGGGAGCTGAGTAAATGTGGGTGAGTCCCTGTATTGGGAGCTTGCTCCTCTGACTTGGCCAGGCCTGCTTCGAGGAGGGGAAAGGCTTCGGCTCACTTTTAGGCTCTGGAGCTTTTTAAGTCCTACTCGTCATCCTCAAGCGCTCTCATCTGCTGCTCTTGCTCCAAGAGGTCCCCACTCCTCAGTGCTCCAGAAGCCTGGTGCCTCCTATTGCTTTGACCGACCGTTGCTCACGGCTTTCCCAATGAAGACACCTTTCTGATCACTTTATAATTTCCACTGCGTTTATTTTCCTTTGCCCTGATGTACCAGCACTTTGCAGCCTTTGGGGGGTAAATTAAGTCAAATACAATTGCACACTCAGCAGCGTTAACAGTAACATGATCCGGCTTAAAGAGGCAGATGTGCGTCCCCCCTTCTGGCACCCCCTCCCCAGCTGAAGCTCTGCAAGGGTTTCTGGCGCGTCTCACTGTTGGTGTACACCGTGTGCGTTATTACAAACCACTGTCGCTACACAACATTTTAATACGATAGGCTTTATGGTGTGCCACCTCTATGTTCAAGTTGTCCGTAAGCCTGTACTTCATGAAGCACACAGCTCTATAATCTTTTATTAATTAATACCCGAGCAGAGTTTTCAAAGATTACACCAAGCTAAAACTATCTGGCTTCAATGACTCCCAAGTTGCAATATGAAACCATCCAAATAAAAATTACTTTTATGAAACTTTTCCATTACCCCAAATAGACTGTAAGAAAAATAGTCTGAGGTCAAGTTCTGGAA